AATATTATGTTACATAAGTTAATAGGCATTAAATTCGTATTATATTTAGACATATTAAGTATATTTATCTGTGTATACGTATTATAAATCCAATTCATAAATATTCAAAAGACATGTCATTTCTTTCAATTTCAATAAAAATGATACTGAATTATATGCAATATGGTTCATACAATTTAAAAATAAATTACAATGTGTTACTGAGAATTTATCAGAAATGTACATAAGTTTCACATTAATGGAAATATTTTATTTATATTATAAAAATATCAATAATCGATAAATTCTGACTGTTAAATTTAACAAAACATAAATTATTGATTCTACCGAAGACAAGTGATTTAAATTAAATGATTAAATTTAAGATAACGATATGAGTATTTTAATTAAAATATCAAACTTGACTCTATCGGAATAAGAAGATGTTATGCAAATCCTAGAAAATATCGTTCCAGATAAAGGATTTAAGGAGGGCATTAATTAAATTCGTTAAACATTTGTGCAAAACAGACAAAACTCTCATTCGTTTATTTATATGTATTTTTTATAATATATTACACGCTGCTCATTTCTTCTTCTTCGTACCTTGTTATGTTTCCTGTTTCAATGTTTTAACATTGCGAAGATTACATTTGGACGTTAAATTACGGACAAAAAGAAACAATTTTTCACCGCAACATGTGTCCATCTATATAAATTTAATGAGACTCGCGGTCGAGTCTATTTACAATAGAATCTTTGTACAAAAAACTAATAATCTCATATAAACGGTAAAAGTACGTATATCGATTATTAATAAAGAATGCATGCGCAGCACTTTCTTGAAAGCGGAACAGAGACAAAAGCTCCAATAAATCCGATACATAATCCATAAGCCAAGGCATATATATATGAATTTTGATTCGATCCCGGATCATATTTTTATGTTTACTCCTTGCGCAGTTACGTGTAAATAAGTGAAGAAATCTATGGCGCTCGCGTGCTATTCAATAAAGAGTAAAAGAGAAATGGAAAATAAAGAAGGAAGACAAAAAAAGAGCTTCTGGCATGTGCAATTTTTAGGAAAATGTCTATCGAACGTATTTTTCCGCCAATTGTTTTCGCTTGAGGCTATTGCTCGAGTACATGGCCTGTTTCCTTTCTATCTGCTCCTCCTTGTTTCTCATATTTGCTCATATTTTTATTTTCTTTTCTACTCTCTACTACATCTTGTATTCTTATATAAGCTAATGCGACATTGTCCAAAGTATTATTTACTCACGTGAAATATGAAAGGTATTTTTATTACATTCAAAATTATAATATTCTTTAATTGGGCTGTTCAAGTTATTTGGAAAGAGGAGAGAAATATAGAGAAACAAGCGCCGTGGAAAATAATCGACGAAGTAGTTTTAGATATTTTTTTTTTCATAAATACTTTCGAATTCCGTCCCTAATTTTTAAATAATCTCGCAGTTCTGTTTCAGCAAAATTTTATTAAAAAAAAAAAAAAAAAAAAAAATAAAAAAAAATATCTTTAAAACATTTCAAACAAATCGCAATTAATAGTTTATTTGTATTTCTTGTTTCACAAAAGCAAGTTGAAATGCATTTGTTATTTATGCAAATGACGAGTTTAGCATTTAAAAAAATTTCATCAATGTTAATGTATTTACGTAATGAATTTTTCTTTATTAAAATAAATGAAATTATGCTAATATTAACATGCCATTATTAGTCATTCCTTAGGCATAAAATTTTTGCATTTACGACCACAAATTTTTACAACACCGTCAAAACATAAATATTAGCTTGAACTTTTCACACATGAATTTCATTAGAAGTACAAATGAGTCTAATATATCGTATTCGACATGTTATTTGTTGCAAATACGGGTGTATCGTAATTGGGAGTAAGCGTCCTCCTCAACTCTGTCCATAAAATACTTTCAACTAGTTGAGATTTTTAGCTATCGTTTTGCTTGGTGTATTTGAGAATCTGTCCTTTCGTCTCTCTCTCTCTCTCTCTCTCTCTCTCTCTCTAGCACAGTTTGGGAACTGACAGGAGTGGGACAAATGACAAGGGATGAGACCGTTGACGAGCAAAGAAAGGCAAAACAGAAACAACTCTCACCGCGGTCGCCGCGCAGCGGGAAGGGCGGGGAGGGAAACGCGCGCGCGTGTGTATGGATTGGAGTCGGGGAAGGGGTTTAGAAGCAAGCGCTGCTGAAAATTTCCTCCCTCGGCGCTTGTCGTCGTCGGGACGCCTGGAATGGCGAAGTGGATGGAGAGGCCAGAACTACCAGGCAACGAAGTAGTGAATTGCTGAAAGAGTCAGTGATTGAATGCCCTCCCTAAACTACAACTATGTTGTTCCGTTGCTTTTCAATACAGAAACGTAAATGGAAAAAGCAGATCCGTCGCGATACGATACCAGTGGTTCTGTATCGTCCTCGTAGTTGGCGTGCGTGGATGCGTGCGCGCGCGTGTGGGTATGCCGATCGAGTGAATTGAAAAATCGAAGGATAAATTCGTTTACGCTTACTACGATGAAGTATTGAGTCAGTGATGTATCGCAAACGTATTAATGGCCATAATAAATTTAGAATATCAAGAAATCGCTTACGTAAACTTGAGTATTTTATGAAAAGTGAAGTATTCAACTACAATGACTTGGTAGCAATGATTATAGGATTTTCCGTTGTATTCACTTAGAAGTTGATGAAAATTTGTACAAATTTTTACAGCTGACAATTATGTATTAAGCCTTTGCAATTTACTAGTACCGATATTTATTTATAATATTACATATATTGCTTTATCATTTTCATCCTCTAAACAATGTAAAATATTTTGAATACATAATACATGATTTATTCAGAGTATTAGAAAATCATAAAGCAGTTGATGCATATATTAATAGCTAAAACTATGCATTCTTGCCTTTATTTACATATAAAAAATATATGTCTGCGTTAATTATTAATTTATTATGGATAAATTATCGATGCTCTTTCTGGATATATCAAATATATGTTGCCTATGTTGATTATTAATTTATTATGAATTCATAAATGGATTGATATTTTTTGTGCAAATTTATGTTACTCTATTTTGATTTCCATGAGTTTGTTTTGATATTCGTTATTACACATTTATTTCATTTTTTTTTTTTTTTTAATTTAAATACATGAATTTCCTAATATAGTTTTAATACTTTAATAATAAAATTTAATCTATTCATGTATTTTGTTATATTACTAAGACACTTCCAAGGTAGTACAATCAAGATATGGCTTTTTGAATATAAGAATTATTTTTATATTTTTGTTTTTTAAAAAAACGACATTACTTCTAAAGAAATATATTATTAAAATTGTCATTCAAGACACATAACAATCTATATGAATGATAGAAATAAATATCTAGGTTATGCACAATTAAATTTTCACGAGATTCACTAGACATAAGCGATAAATAAAGGAGCTGTTTTGCCTCTGTTCAGCTGCAGATGAAAACACTCTAGTTTTTATTAATTTTTTTTTCTTTTCGTTTTTGTACAATTCAACAATCAAGAATTACAATCAAGTAAACCGTAAACTTTTACGTCACATCAATACACACAAGTGTACACTCACTTTAAACGATGCACGTCTGAAAATAGCAATCGATTAGATTCTCTTAAAGAGTGAATCTACGTTTTTATGCGTAAAATTCTGATGAATAATTGTTTTTTTTTCGGTTTTTTGTTCTTTTTTTTTTTTTTTTAAAGATATGTCTTCTATCGTTTATAAATTAATGATCTTTTTTCATAATAATCGGCAATAATATGGCTTTGATGAATGACGCCAAGCATTGAATTGCTGAAATAATCTTTTTCGTAAAGCGAATATTCTCGAGAATTAACCAAATATAGATTTGGATAAAGTTTTAATAATAAAAATTAAGAGCAGAATACTTTTGATATTTTGTACTAGGAAATAAAACGATGAATACTTGTCATAATTATGTTTTGTTCTGTCGTAGACGCATTTATCAAATTTATATTTACATGAAGAAAAATGGTTATCTTAATATTTCTCTTTTGTCTAGAAATAAGTACATAGAGTTACATTTTCTACTCTATTTATTATTTAAATGGATTATATTTTAAAATTAAATATAATATTTTATATGACGTGTTTAACAAAAATAATATTTATTATAATATAAATTATATTTAGATTAAAAATTTTAAAAAAAATAAAAACTGGAAAAATTTATTTTATATGTAATAGTAAGTTTTGCCAAATTTTTCGATATTTTGCCAGAACTTTTATAAATTATTCTTAATGTTTATAGTCACAATTTGACTTATAATAAAATTGACAATACAATATATTTATATATATATATATATATATATATTAAAACATTACTCAAGTATTTATTGACATATCTTTGATCATAAAATAATATATGAGTTTTAAACATATATCCACAAATTACAGTACTGTCTCATAATTAATTAATTTTATTAATTGAATTTTAGAGATTTAATAATATTATACATATTGTATTAGTATTTATAAGTTTATAATGTTAAACAAAAATAATAAGGCATTTAGAAGCGCTTCAAAGTGACCGACGTAACAAGATATATAATCTATAGGCATATATATTTAAGAAATAAATGTAAATATATTTTAGAAATATTATTGATATTACATATATATATATATATATATATATATATATATATATATATATATATATATATATATAAATTATTTTAAATTAAACGAAAAGAAATAGTTTATTTATTAAGAGTATGTCATGGTTCACTCGGTTTATAATAACAATGTATTATATGTATTCGATTATTGTTAAACTATTAAAAGAAATTATTATACTTAGTAAGAATTAGTAGTTTCTAGTATTAACAATCGAAATAATTATTAAACAATTAACCATAGTTGGTCAATAACGAGAATACCATTTTTCTCCATTGTATAATTGTACACAAAATTCAACGTGCAGACGTCAAAATGACGTTGATTCGAATTATATAATTTTTCATATTTAAATTTTCATTACTTAACTTACTCAAGCAGATCTTTACTATGCTTAATAATATTTTACCGCAGATTCACACAATTAACAATTATCACTGCTCACCAACACGATATTTTCTTTACATTGATCAAAGCTCTTGCACAAACTGAACTGCTTCATAACGTCTCGCTCCCATCTTTGCTACTCCAGATGTTTCATACGTATATAGTTGAAAAAGTGTCTTATATACAACTCTCTTGGATTCGGTTGGAACGCGTAACCACCTCAGGCTGATGTATCTTGCCGTGGGCGGAGACCGACGAGGAAACAGGCCTCTGTGGCATCGTAGAGATACCTTTGCTCGCTCTCTGTAGACTATAATACACCTGCAAATATTATAGGGCAAACAGGGATAACGTTAGTACGTCGAGAAATGATAGGAGAGCTCACGGGTTTAACGATAATTTCATACGTTATTGATTATTGTGTAGAAAAATAGCGTATCTTATAGGGATTATTGCTTAATTATTGCTAATTATAGCTACATTCATAAGAATTTTTAAGATAATTGTGTTATTAAAAGTCGACAATGGTGAATTTAGTCGAGATTTCTTTGTATTTTCACCTAGAGTGGCTAAGATATTTGCTTATAGATATTCGCTTAATGAACGTCAAAAATGAACGCAAAAGATTATAAAAGGAAAAGTAAAGTGTGTTGCCAATCTATTGCTTAGAGGAAAATTCGTTTAGACCATTAAGTATTGTAAATTTTATGAGGATAAAGAATTAAGGTTATTGTGATATTGTTATAGTAATAAATGGAGATTATTGTGTCCATCCAATTATATTGGAATATAATTCCTTCGTATTTGATAATAATTGAGATAACTCTGTCTGCTGCCTAAAGTTCGCGTGAATTGTCAAAGAACTTAATGTACGCTATAAGATTGGCAAATGCAATATTAGATTCGCTGTCATTCGCTTTAAATTTTGAAACTAATTATTTTTATAAAAGTAGAAGAAGGTGCGTATATTTATATGATATATTATATAAAATTTTTCACACGTTTTGGCGAGATATGAAAGAGGCAAAGCTGAAAATTAAAAATTTTTATAACAGAAATATCACATACTTTGCGTACATTTATAATAATAATAATAATAATAATAATAATAATAATAATAATAATAATAAACATAAAAAAAAAAGAAAAAAGAAAAAAAAAACTATAAAAGAGTTTAACAATATGAGCTGGAATGAAAATTAAAAAATTAAAATAGCATCGCATGAAATTCTCGGGAGAAATCAAAAAGTGAACGACTATTTACTCTGATCAAAGTATATATGGTAATATACAATATTAAATAGAAATTAACCAAAGTAACATATTGCCAAGCACTCTGTTTGGAGTTGGAGACAAATGAAAATGTGGGAGCATCTAGATTTAATGAAATTATGAATGTTTAAATTCTTTATTCGAATTAAATAATAATGCCAACCAACCAATATATTTTAGTTATTGCATTTAAAAATTATTATTGAATAATAATTATTGAATTGTCGAAGACATTTTATAATGCTTAATTTATATTTTGAGTTTAATCGGCGTTTTGGAAAAGATATAAAAGCGTATTGACGAGTGCATTCTTAAATTATTGAGAAAACCTCGGAGATAATTAAGCTAGCAGAAGTGCAGATAACACTGAGTCTCCTAAAACGAGAAAGTTAAAGTGGATGACTCTAAGCGATCGTTTACTTTGTTATCTGTGTATTTCTACAGTTAAGTAGAAATTAGCTATTTAAAATTATTTGGAAAGAAAGAGGTCGCGCAATCGTCAGTATATTTTTGTTGAAAAAAGAAAAAAAGAAGAAGAACATTGAAGTGAAATTCTAATTATGAGAGTATAATATGTCATAGAGCTTACTTTTTCTTTCTTTTATAAATTTTTGTATTGTGTATACTACTGTTTGCAAATGTTTAGAATAATTTATATTGAACAAAATTTCATGCAATGGGGCTTTGGTGTAATTCCTCGTATATTCCACAATAAATATCTTCGATTCCACCAACATATAAACAGCATTTGATATTTTATGAAAATAATTTCGATATTAAGTCAATTCAAAAGTTAAGACTATTTACAACAATTTAAAAAGTCACTATTTTTCTAAAATTGTTAAAAATCTATTACCGTTCAATTCATTCATAAAATATTTCCAAAAATCTGTCTAATAGCTAATATTGCTTTTTCTTTCAGACATTAAAATATATCTAAATACGTATAAAATTAATCATTAGTGTATTAAAATGTGTGTGTGTGTGTGTGTGTGTTTTTATGTTTTTATTTTTGAAACGAGCACATTCGTTCTTCAATGTAACTTTCTGCATTAAATGTAGAAGAGAGGATTGATTACATTTTCATCAAAATACGTTGAGCGTAAAATCGAATAATAATCATCAGCGGCTAAAATCTCCAATAGCCGACAAAAGTAACATTATCATTATAATTGATCGAAAATCATAGAATATCGCGATATAATCATAGCTGCTGAGCTTCGATAATTCTCGAACATATCGAGAAATGTGAAAAGGAAGGTTAGAAATCTGTCTATAAAAATAGATGTTCATTTATCTTGTGTAAAATACGCCCGAAGTTTCAAACAATATTTTATTTCCCGTTTCAAACTTTTTGCCAAATTTTTTCACAAACTATATAAAAGTCGAGTAGAAGGAATAGCTCCTGAAATACATACACGCGCACACGCGCACACACATTTATTGAAATATATATATATATATATATATATATATATATATATAAACAGTGGTAGTTTTTGCACTTTAATCGAGCGTGCATAAGTAAGTTTTGGCATCGCGTGTCAACGTGTCTGGCAATATTCATGGATGGATCAACGATCGCGGATCTTCCAGCATTATCCCGACGAAATCCTTTCTCACTATCCTCGTATAGCCGCGATTATGAACGACAACAACAACATGGAAGTGGCGTGTTCCCTCTTACATTTTGGTTGTTTCGCTGATTGTAGGCGTCGAATGCCATCTGCTTGAAGTCGGCGAGCGTTGGCGAGTCGCCGTAGGCACTGTTGGGCGACGTCGTGTGCGCCAAGTGGTGGAGGTGGTGGTGCTGGTGGTGATTGTGGTTGAATCTAACGCTGGCCGTAGCCAGGGTCTCGGTCAAGGGGGCTGCGTCGCCGGTGCGGAGGTCGACCATCGGCTTCTTCTCCGGCGACGAGTTAAGCTCGTCGGTGCTCGCGGCGCCGCCTCCGTTGCCGCGATCTCTTCGTCGCCTTTGCGGGGGCGTCTTGTACACGGGCGTGTACGTCAAGGGTCTTCTCTCTGCGAAAAGCGTATTTTCAAGCGAAGCCCCGTGCATGCCCAAGTCATTGGCGTGTGGTGGCTGTGCGCTAAGTCGATTACTCGATTAAGGGGCAGACTTAGGCGGGCGGGCCGCGCGTACCCGACTTCCTACTTATTTACGCAATTATGGAGCTCGGCGAGTGTTGGGCATGGCAGCGAGTGATCGGCGATAGCCTTTGGGATAAACGCGAATTTTCGTTGGAATAAACGTAGCTGCGCGCCTGATTACCTTATTAATTAATTTCCTATCGAGGGCAGATCGAGTGCGTTTACGTGAACATGGGGCGGGATTGTGGCCGGCGGAGGGGTGGGGGATGCGTGGACTAATCATTCGGAAGGACGGATACGATGAATTCAAAGCTTTCGCGGCTTCGTGTTTCGTTATTTTCACGTTAATCATCTCGTTTAATGTTGATTGGTAATTTTGAATCCTTTTTGTATATCAAGGAGGAGAATTATGATAACGTCGTACACGACGTATGGTATCGACGTACACGAAAGTAGAGTTTATTTATGCTTTAATGATAATCGTAGCCACTTAATTATGAAAATTCTTGGAAAACAACGCATTGACAATGATGTTCCGACAATTCATATACGTTTTATAAAGGATACGGGAGGAAGTTTATCATCTCAATCATACAATTTAACAATAAATAGATTAATAATTTAATTATCGTAATTCTTACGACAGGTCAGTAAAAATTAGCATTATAAAAGAGTCCTGGAAATTGATAATGCGTCTTCTTAAAATACACAATTATTTATTACTACCGACTTTATTATGAGATAAATTTTATTCTTTATTCTTTTATAATCAGCAAGACCCAATCTACGTAAATTTATTGTATACATGAATTGTATATATGAATATATAAATATAGATGTAATGCACGCGCGAAATCATTAATAGAGATTGTCCGAAAGAGTTTTTTGAAAGCAAAGTGGGAGGGAATGAAAAAAATGTGAAGGCTGCTTACCGTATTCATTAGGTATGATGTCGGGGTCGATATCATCGACCGCCTGCTTAGTCTGGGGGTGTACGGGAGTAGTTGAGCCGGCATTAGGAGGTTCGCACACGATGGGAGCGTGCTTCGGACTTCCTGTCTGACCGTTCGAGTGCTTCCTGTATAGAGCCGCTAAAATTCCGGCTACAGCGAGGGTCAAAATTGTTGCCGTTGCCGCCAAGCCAAGCAGCAGCGGACTAAATACCGAGCCGCTTGTATTTCCTGGACGGAGCGACAAAAATAAAAGAAAAAAAACTATATAAAATACTTTCTCACTCTGAATTGCCTTAGTGGGATAAAAATATGTTAGCTATTCGCGTAAAATATTGATAATGGGAATCGCAGTGCCTATTACTATATTTTTTTATGCCCCGAGATTACGTAACAAGGAGGACTCCGCTCTTCGAGTCATGAATTTACATCAGATTTTTACAAGTACTTTTAATACCTAAGATAAAATTTACTATCCATTATTTGATCCTATAGGTGCTTCTTCTAAGATATTCATCATCGACATAAGACTTTTATAAGCTTCAACAAATCTAAGAAAATTATTTGAAAAAGCAATGAAGAAAGAAGGAGAGAAGAAAAAAAAAGAAAAGAAATCAGTCATAGTATGCCGGTACTTTTTATATTTTTTTAATCTAACAACACCTTACATTTATATCATATTGTTGCATCGCAATTTAAACAAGTTTTACATCATAAGAATAATAACGATTGCAATTATTTTATATAATTTTGAAAGCATATGATTGCGAGCAAACTTACGAATCATAAATCTGACGGTTTTCAAAATTTCTTAGTTATTTTCTCCCTACAATTTATCTTATCCTTGTAGACTTAATCAATTTATTAATAAGCGACATTGCAATATAATATTACTAATATTAATCCTTTATGGATTTGTATATCCTACAGTTATTTACTTACAGAGTAATATTAATTTATGAATTTTACATTTATCGAATAATATTATTAATTATAACTTTTTGTTATGAAGAAACTAAATTGTATTAAATGGAACTGGTAGTAGTGAAAAGTTATGCTTTTAAGTACAATAGAACTTTAATACTACTTCGTAAAGTTTAATTAATATGCGTGATAGAGATCGAAAATTCTGCTTAAAAGAGATTCAGTAATTTGAATTAGAACATGTTTATTCGAGCATTAATGTTTGTTTTTATACTAGGAATATTATGAAGTTCTTATTGGAAAATAATCAAATTTTAAAATTATTTAAAGGAAAGTTCTTCATAAATTAAGTAAATTAGAATAAATTAACTTTTTCCAGCTGGCTGAATTTATTTATCAAGTTGAATTAAAAAGTTAAATCAACATTACGTGATCAAGTGCACATATAGTTTTTCTGAGAGCTAAAACTTTCGAATAACTTCTCGTCTAAACTAATTTTTATGTTTTATGCCAATTCCATTGTGATGCGATATATACTAATCGGATGGAAATTGTAAAAATTGAAGGGTATTATTATTTTTGTTTTCATGTGGTAATTGGATAAGAAATTGGATTAAGAAAATTAATTATTTATTTTGATTAATAGTGAAAATAATTTTGAAATTAAAAAAAACAATTTTATTAATTGGGCATTGTTTTCATTAATGGCTCACAGGGTGAGAAATTTGACATCTTTCTATTTATATTTTATTATCAAATTAACCAATTAAATTAAAAATGTTTATTATATATTTATTAATAATGTCAATAAAAACCTATAATACAAAATATATAATAAAATATATATATATATATGTATATGAAGGCACCATAATGAAACTGATGGATCACTTTGTTAAAACGTATTAAGAATTTCGCCATTTATTATTTTCCAAAGAGAATCAACGCCCATGAAAATTCATATGTCTGCTTTAAAACATAATCTTACGTTTTAGAGAAAATTGCACGGCAAATAAAAATATCCGTTCCTTTGATTTGCATCGACCATTAAAATCATCATTTTAACGAACCACCGCAAGTAAATTAGATGTTTATCTTTGACAATTCATCATGGAATTATGGACCTCTTTTGTCCTCTATCTCCACTTGTCCTCGAAATTCAAAACGCGCCGTGGCAGTATTGGCTTTATCCACGCGTTTGCGCTCTACTCGTTCAATGTTAAATAGTACAAGCTGCCGCGTGTACGAATTAATGAGCTTGATAATAATTAACGTAGGTACACATATTACCATGGCATCATAGCTCAGTCGCTAATAGCGAAATAAGCATTTGTTAACAAAAAAAAAAAAATTAAAGTTTATTAACATTATTTAGGATAAAAATATGTTGATAATGATAGAATCAATGGTAGCAAGAATATTAAAAGTTGATAATGTGCACTTTCTATTTATGTAAATATTCTTAATGAAATGAGTAAAGCATCAATAATTTTACATTATTTCTGATAAACGTTGATTTTTGCAATTTTTGCAGAATAAGCGTTATTATAATGGCGAGTATCTAATTTTTGGACCATCGTGAACTTAGATTCTAAATTGTTTTCATCAATAAATATTATTTTCAATAAATCTTTGGTTAACCAACTAAACGATATTATAGATCATAGGTTCAACAGTGAAACTATTAAGAAACTAATCGAAGAAATTATTAGAATAATTTTATCTACGTATTTAGTTTATAAACATTTTGGCCTTAACGATTAATAATATGATGTCCTATTTTATTATGCGATTATTTTAGGAAAATTTGATTAATCTTCATAAGAAAATTGTCATTGTTAAATAACTCATTAGTTATTAAATTTAGCAAATTGAGTATGTCCGTAAAGGCTATTATATAATATTAAATATTTAGTTTCACAAAGAAAAATTAAGAAATCATTGAAATGAATTTAATTAAATAAAGACAGCGGTATTAATTTACTAATTTATTTACTAACGAACTTGTTCGAAGTGTCTAGGCGAAGAATATAAAAATGCAGATGAGAATTTCACCGGAGGCCAATTTTACAAGCCATGCGCGTGACAGTTGGAGTATTACGATACAAAAAAGTTTGCGATATTGTGATAGGAAATACAAATACTTTTTCGAATGTAAACAAATAGAATTTTTCGAATGTAAGTAGTGAGTCGTATTTAAGCCGAAGGAATAAGATTTTCAAAATCAAAATAGATTCTTGTGAGGAATTGGATGATTTATACTTAAAAAAATATATAAAAGACGACAATGTTAGGTAAATAAATATATGGAATAAAGAACTTCAACAAGGTTTTTCAAAGTTGCTAAAGTTAACCTGGCAAAGCTTTTCCAATAGTGCAATGAAAAAACATGTTTTCAGTTTTTGACGAATCCTCGATTGTTTTCAATGAAAAACAAAAAAAAAAAACAAAAAAACAAAAATAAAAAAAAAAAAAACAACTGTTTCATAGAATAATTTATCCATCACACACAAAATATATATGTAATTCAATATATACTTATATTATCCATTATTGTAGTTTAATTTTATATTTCTACTTTAATACTACTACATATGAAATTTATATAAATAATTTGTCGTAGGTGTATAGAAAAAAAGATGAAATCAGTTACTGGCGTAAATTCATTCATTCCTTGAACAAATTAAATGATTAAGAAAAATAGAGAATTGAAAAAGATCGGGTGATCTGTTATAACATCAAAATGGTTGAAAAAAATTTTTACATATAATTTTCAATAACAATAAACATTGACCAGAATTGTTCATGTAAAAATTATTATCCAAATGAAGAAATTCAAACACAAAAGAATCAAACAATTATATTAAATTAAACTCGGAAGCACTGAGTTTTGAAATATCTATAATTGGAGTCGCCCAATGCGCTGAGTCGCCTTTTACGATCAATGTAAAATACTCGAACAAATTTGACAATTAATTGCTTTCCTTACAAACGTTTTAAAACGAGATAAAGTTGCAATGATAGAGAGAGAGAGAGAGAGAGAGAGAGAGGGAGAGAGAGAGAGAGAGAGAGAGAGAGAAAGAGAGGGCGCGAGCGAAACCGAGGGAGAGAATAATTGATGAAGATAGAAGAGAAGTGGGAAAAAGACAGTTACTAGAATCTAGAGAAGAAAGCATAAGTACTCCGCGTTCTTTCTTCTCCTGTATTCGTTAAACTTTCATAGGACTTTGATAGGCAATGGGAAAGTAAAGCAATTTAAAGTCGAACGTTATAGTCTTAAAATAGAATAACGGTATACATAAGTGTAAGAGCCCCATCACTGCGTTTCTAGAACTTGATGCTCTTTTTCTAGCGTGAAAAGCATTGAAATTGCTAAACTGACATGCCTTGGGATTGAAAAAAATAATTAAGACTTTATACTATAACCCGTAGTTTTCTCTACTTTCCCATGTTGTAGAAGATTTCTATTGATTTGATCTTTTAGCTGTTCTTGGTGGAGCGTAGGAAAATTATCGCAATTACGTGAAAATATATGTATAACGATAAATTTCGAATTTATTAGATAGATGAAGAGAAAGAATTTCGCCGCAATCGCGAATTAAGTCTTACTATCGAGTAATCTCTTCTTTCCATCTTAAAATTGCTCGAAATTTATTTATAATTGATATACTTATATATAAGGACTACATACAGCAGTTCGTATGCTAAGCAAACGAATAATCTTGGTATTTGTGAAATCGTTTGCAAAGTAATAATAAGGGCTTTCATGCAGTGTACGTGTTCCTCTGTGATTCCATTAGCCTGCTTTTATGCAGTAAAGTTATGTCTCAAGATTCTTGGTATTTCAGTGTATATTTAACATAGTGTTTGTGCATTAAATTATATTACTAATCATTTTAATAGATGAATGGCACACTAATATGAAAATCGAACATAAAACTTGCTTTAGTGTAAACAACTTGGTAAACAAAAATCATCACTTAAAAAATTTATATAAAAATTATAAGTATATGTTATACCAATGAAACTACAGATTTTATTGATACTCTGACTTCATAATAAATAAAGTTCTAATTATATATGAATAATATAAGTCTAGTTAACACATTTAAATACTTTGGTTAAAAAATCCTCTTTATACTCCGATTGATACTCATTATTATCTCTTGTTTAACAATATAAAAACCAAAGTACTGGCTACCTTGAAATAAGTAAGAAATTCATTATTATTATCTTCTGCTCTTTACATTGCCGTTATTGATTATTTATCATAATTGGCATTTGACTTTGACATATCAGAGAGCTCC